TCTTATCTCCAATAAATCACTAGAAAACCGCAATTGGCCCCGTGGCTCAAGCAGTAGACACTCACCTTGAGCTGAAGAGCACAAGGACAGTGCCCAAGCCCAAAGTTCAAGCCCCACGACCCACCAAAAAAAAAAAAACCAAAGAGAAAATACATGAAGTATCTCTCTATGTAACTCATCTGCAGGATAGTTCTTATTCTATGGCTTCTCAGTATATGGGGAAAAGAGGTATATATTACCTTCAGTTTACAGAGCTACTTGTGGTAATTTAATACAAATCAGACACCTCACATCTAACTTCCCAGAGATACCAAGATTATTACATTTAGGGAAAAAAAGTAACTTTCAATAAGTAATCAGTCTTTTTTCTTTTTCACTCTCTTTTTTTTTTGGTCCGGTCATGGGGCCTGAACTCTGAGCCTGGGTGCTGTCCCTCAGCTCTTCAGCTCAAGGCTATCGCTCTACCACTTGAGCCACAGCACCACTTCCAGTTTTTTTCTTTTTGCTTATGTGGTGCTGAGGAATTGAACCTAGGGCCTCAGGCATGCAAGGCAAGCGCTCTACCACTGAGCTACCTTCCCAGCCTCTTTTTTTTTTTTGGTGACTATCCTGGGACTTGAACTCAAGGCCTAGTCACTGACCCTGACCTTTTTTGTTTGAGGCTAGCGTTCTACCACTTGAGCAACAACGCTTTCACTTCCAGCTTTTTTGGTGGTTAAATGGATATAAAAATCTTAGGGATGGGGCTGGGAAGGTGGCTCAGTGGTAGAGCATTTGCCTTGCATGCCTGAGATCCTGGGTTCGATTCCTCAGCATCACATAAGCAAAAAGAAAAAAAGCAGAAGTGGCGCTGTGGCTCAAGTGGTAGAGCACTAGCCTTGAGCTGAAGAGCTGAGGGACAGCACCCAGGCCCTGAGTTCAGGCCCCACAACCGGACCCAAAAAAAAGAAGAATCTCAGGGACTTTCCTGTCTAAGCTGGCTTTTGTCAGTGATCCTCAGACCTCGGCCTCCAAGTAAAAAGTAGCCATTTTAAGTCTTTCAGAATCTAAACAAATTCCTCAGATATAAGTACAAGCTACAAGAAAAAGAATTCTCTAAGCATTTTAAGAAAGGCAGAGATGGGGCTGGGAAGGTGGCTCAGTGGTAGAGCACTTGCCTTGCATGCCTGAGGCCCTGGGTTCGATTCCTCAGCACCACACAAGCAAAAAGAAAAACGCCAGAAGTGGTGCTGTGGCTCAAGTAGTAGAGCGCTAGCCTTGAGCTGAAGAGCTGAGGGACAGTGCCCAGGCCCAGAGTTCGGGCCCCACGACCGGACCCAAAAAAAAAAAAAGAAAGGTAGAGAATGTTTTCTCTTATCTGACTTAGTCCCAAGGAAATCTGTTGGCTAAAAAAGTAAAAATATATTGCCAGAGGCACTGTAGCTCATACCTATAAACCTAGCTACTCAGGAGAGTGAGATCTGAGGATTTCAGTTCAAAGCCACCCTGGGCAGGAAAGTCCAGAAACTTTTATCTCCAATTAACCAACATAAAACTGAAAGTGGCACCACTGTGTCTCAAGTGGTAGAATGCTCACCTTGAGCTGAAAAGCTCAGGTAAAGTACCCAGGCCCAGAGTTCAAGCCCACACCAAAATATAAATTTTTAAAAAAGAGTAAAAATACAATACTTTTACTAATACAATGCAAAAGGCTGAGGAGGGTGCGGCTCAAATGGTAGGCTACCTGCCTAGGAAGTGCAAGGCTCCATGTTCAAACCCCAGTATTGCCAAAAAAAAAAAAAGATTCATATTCTATTATCAAAGTTAACAAAATGAATGATCATCTTCCCTTTTCTATATAATTTTTTAAAAAGAGCCAAATGCAAACTTGGTTTTGTGCTACAAACTCGAGTCTATTCCAGTAGAAAAAACACAATTATTCAGAGCTTAACTTCATACTTCAAAAGCTTTCCCTTCCTGGGATTGGAGGCGTGGCTCAGTTGGTACAGCATTGGTCAACAGTGAAAATATGAGGTATTGAGTTTGAGTCCTGGTCTTGGACAAAACAAAATTTCCTCCAGCCTTTTGCATCTCCAGTTCTACAGTCCACTTGATGTTACTGAAGCTATGTGGGGAGAGGAGAGGGAAGCAGGGAATACAGGGCATGCTGGGACCAATCAGTCAAGCAAAGTTTAAGTTATGTATCATCAATGGGTATAGATGAAAACTACCATCCACCAGGCAGTGGTGGCTCACGCCTGTAAGCCTAGCTACTCAGGAGGCTGAGATTTGATGTTCTAGGTTTGGAGCCAGCCCAGATAGGCAAGTTTGAGTCTCTTGCCTCAGTTAACCAGCAGATAGCTGGAACTGGAGATGTGGCTCAAGCGCTAGAATGCCAGCCATAGCAAAAAAGCCAAGCAAGAGCATAAGGATCCTGAGTTCAAGCCCCAGTACAAAAACAAAAACAGAAAGCCCACAAGCTACTGTAACGACCTTATAAGATAAGAAGTTTGACTTCAGAGCAATGATCACAGGGTGGTGCCATACCTGAAGTTCTTTGGAGAAGTAAAAACAAGACACAGGACCCAGGGCTAAGGAACAAGAGTGCTTGCTCTCTTCTGTGATACTAGTACAGGACTGTGGCAGCTGAGTGGTAACTTCTTTCTAGACATATTCACACACACAGACACAGACACAGACACAGACACACACAAATACCAAGGTGTCTCTCTTAAAATAAGAAAAAAAAAAGATGAAAATTCCTATTCCTGTCCTCAGGCAACAGAACTATAGCTGGATAGGAGAGGGTGGTAAAGAGAACAAGCTTCTCCAAATAAGTGTGACTACCGTACAGCAGGGTTCCCACACAGATGGCAGGGACACTGAGGCTGAAACCATGGGAGTATTCTGTATACCTTTAAAGAAAGCCTTACAAGATGCTCCCAGCAGCCTCTAATCTGGTTTCTTTCATCCCTGAGTCTCTCCAATTATTGCATTAAACAGAAGCTCAATTGCTTTTCTGTTAATTATCCTTTAAAAAAAAAGAAAAAGGAAGTCAGGTACCAGTGGCTCACGCCTGTAATCCTAACTACTCAGGAGGCTGAGATCTGAGGATCGTGATTCAAAGCCAACCCGGGCAGGAAAGTCCGTGAAATTCTTATCTCCAATAAACCACCAGAAAACGGGAAGTGGCACTGTAGCTTGAGCTGAAGAGCTGAGGGGCATCGCTTAGGCTCAGAGTTCAAGCCCTATGACCAACCAAAAAAAAAAAAAAGGGGGGGGACTGGGAATGTGGCTTAGTGGTAGAGTGCTTGCCTAGCATGCATAAAGTTCGATTCCTCAGTATCACATAAACAGAAAAAGCAGAAAGGCACTATAGGCTCAAGTGGTGGAGTACTAGCCTTGAGCCAAAAGAAGCTGAGAGACAGTGCTTAGAACCTAAGTTCAAGCCACAGGACTGGCAAAAAAACAAGGTGGGGAGGAGGGAAAAAGGCTACAAAGACCCAAGTCTCCCACAGAAGGATCAAATCTGGAATGCCCAACAGTTGGGTTACCCAAGAGACAGTTACTGATGATTCCCTTGGGGACTCACCTAAGTGAAATTCTGCTACTGGGAACTATGAAAGTAAACAGTGTTTTGGTGTGTAAGAATTCCACTCTAGAAGCCGGGTGCTGGTGGCTCATGCCTGTAATTCTAGCTACTCAGGAAGCTGAGATCTGAGGATCACAGTTCAAAGCCAGCCCGGGCAGGAAAGGCCGTGAGAATCTTTTTTTTTTTTTTCTGGTCGTGGAGCCTGAACTCTGGGCCTGGGCGCCATCCCTCAGCTCTTCAGCTCAAAGCTAGCACTCTATCACTTGAGCCACAGTGCCACTTCCAGTTTTTCTGCTTATATGGTCCTGAGGAATCAAACCCAGGGCCTCATGCATGCAAGGCAAGCACTCTACCACTGAGCCACCTTCCCAGCCCCAGCCATGAGAATCTTATCTCCAATAAACCACTCAGAAAACCAGAAGTGGCACTGTGGCTCAAGTGGTAGAGTGCTAGCCTTAAGCTGAAGAGCTGAGGGATAGCACCCAGGCCCAGAGTTCAAGCCCCACAATTGACCCCCCGCAAAAAAAGAAGGGGCTGGGAAGGTGGCTCAGTGGTAGAGCGCTTGCCTTGCATGCATGAGGCCCTGGGTTCGATTCCTCAGCACCACATAAGCAAAAAGAAAAAAAGCCGGAAGTAGCGCTGTGGCTCAAGTGGTAGAGCGCTAGCCTTGAGCTGAAGAGCTGAGGGACAGCGCCCAGGCTCAGAGTTCAGGCCCCACGACCGGACCCCCCATAAAAAAGAATTCTGCTCTAAGTGTAAGGCTCTGTCACCATGGCATTTCTCCACTGGTGTGACAAGAACCAATGTCCAGTTGCATTACAGAAGCAAAACCTTACAGAAGCATTACCTAACACTGGCTTCCTTTTCCTATCAGAGAAGCCTTCCCACCACACAAAGAAATGTTCCTGTGTCCAGACAAGCACTCTCAGGAACCTAGAACTTATAGAGAACTCCTGAGTCTTCCCTGACACCCAGCTCCTCTCCCCTCCTCCGGGGTGGGGGGGTGCTCTTTCTAGAACACAGTGAAAAGAAAACACACTTTAAAACAGGATCTTTCATATATATACCTCATATACCTCATATATATCATACATTCTACATGCTTAAAATTTCTATTGAAGTAATAAACTATGTTAACCTTTAAGAAAACAAGTTGGTTGTTGAGATATATATATATATATATATATATATAAAACAGGGAGTTCAAAGATGGGCTTTCAAAGATCCATGAAACTTTGTGTAAGAGTGAGTGTGTGCATTCGTGTGTGGATGGGCTTTGCTAGGAAGAGAGTACCAAGTTCCACAAAAAGAACAGGCCTCAAAATAGAAATAGGATTGGTACGACTGCAGTCAGGTAAAATCATACTTATTTGGATTATACACTGTGCTTAAGCAGTGAAAACAAGTGAGTATGTGACCCATTCCTTACCTCAGTGTCCCAGGAATCCTGAAAGACAGCATTTCTCGTGCTCCTTTTGGTCTGTGGGGGAAGATGATTATCTTCTTCATTGCCATTTCTTCTTCTTTTCCTGAAATTAAAACACAAGGGGAAAAAAATCCAGTAGTTGATCTTTTTTATTTCAATGTAAACCAAGACAACAAATAAATCTGCCCTCTCACCTGAAAAAATATAGCACATGACATCTCAATAGAGTGAACGTTTAAGTATACCATCATTAGGAACTAAGCAAGAATATGTGAAAAGTGGAGCCAAGATCAAGGTTAGATTAGCAAGGCTAGTGTGTGAAAAGAATCTTGACAACTTTAATTGCCTGCTACTAATTAAGAAGAGGAAAAGGTTAAGGACTAAGCTATCAAACACAACTAAAGTTTTCTTCTGTAAAAGTTTCCGGAGCAGAGTCGGGCAGGAAAGTTTGGGAGACTCTTACCTCCAATTAACCACCAGAAAACTGGAAGTGGTGCTGTGGCTCAAGTGGCAGAGATCTAGCCTTGAGCCAAAGAGCCCAGGCACAGTGACCAGATCCTGAGTTCAAGCCCCATGACAACAACAACAAAAAAAGTTCCCAGAATGTAAAATTCAAATTACCTACTCTCTTCCATATGACAAGCTTTGAGAGAAGACCTGTCTTTGCCTGTTCGTCCTGTGTATCTGTACAAAAAGGGTGTCACACAGGAATATCATGGATTTGTGGTTGCTTCTAGGCTGATTTTCCTCGCCCCTGATTTCCCCCAAGAGGCACCACATGAAATTGAATCTCTGTGCTCTCCAGAGGATTCAGTTACTATCCTGGGTGATCACTGGAGAAGCAACTCTAGCTGTGCTAACCTGACTGTCTGCCAGACTACTAGTATTATGATATAACAGTCACTTCATTCATGTCACTAGATTCTGACTTTGAGACTGCAGCACAAAGTGCTAAAAAAGTCTAGTTTTAAAGAAACTTGCATATCAACTGCAGTCAGAAGAAATTCTTTTGTGGGTGTGTGCTGATCCTGGGGCTTGAACTTAGGGCCTAGGTGCTGTCCCTGAGATTTTTTTCTCAAGACTATTACTCTACCATTTGAGCCACACCACCACTTCTGGCTTTTTCTGAGTAGTTCACTGGAGATAAAAGAGTCTCACAGACTTTCTTGCCAGGTGTAGCTTCAAACTGTGATCCTCAGATCTCAGCCTCCTGAGTAGCTAGGATTATAGGCATGAGCTACTTGTGCCTGGCTCAGGATTTCCAAATCCATTAAAAAGCAGAAACAGGGGGTTGGGAAGGTGGCTCAGTGGTAGAGTGCTTGCCTTGCATGCAAGGCCCTGGGTTCAATTCCTCAGCACCACATAAGCAAAAAGAAAAAAGCCGGAAGTGGCGCTGTGGCTCAAGTGGTAGAGCGCTAGCCTTGAGCTGAAGAGCTGAGGGACAGCGCCCAGGCCCAGAGTTCAGGCCCCACAACCGGACCCAAAAAAATAAATTAAAAATAAAACTAAAAAGCAGAAACAGGGGCTGGGAAGGTGGCTCAGTGGTAGAGTGCTTGCCTTGCATGCCTGAGGTCCTGGGTTCGATTCATCAGCACCCCATAAGCAAAAAGAAAAGGCCAGAAGTGGTGCTGTGGCTCAAGTGGTAGAGTGCTACCCTTGAGCTGAAGAGCTGAGGGACAGCACCCAGGCCCAGAGTTCAGGACCCATGACCAGACCCCCCCCCCAAAAAAAAAAAACCAGAAACAAACAAAAAAGCAGAAACAGGGCAAAGGGGTGGACAAAAAAAGATAGAATGAAGTCAAGAATCCAATGTATATCCTACAAAATTAAGAAGAGTGAGGAAAGGAGTAGGGAGCAGAGAGATAGGTGAGAGTGTTGAAAGGGATGACACTGATCAAGGTATACTGTCTTAATAAACTGCTCTGTTAAATGACAACTCCTTTACATAACAACCTAAAGATTAAAGAAATAAATCCTAAGGGGGGAAATATTTTTTTAAATCACACACACACACACACACACAGAGGGAGAGGAGGAGGGGGGGAAGGGGAAGAAGGGAAGGAGAAAGAGAAAGAGAGAGAAGAGAGAGAGAAAGAGAGAGAGAGAAAAATAAGGCAAGGTACCAATGGCTCATGCCTGTAATCCTAGCTACTCAAGAGGCTGAGACGTGAAAGAGCAGTTGGAAGTCAGCCTGGGAAGAAAAATCCACAAAACTTCATCTCCAAATTAACCAGGAAAACACTGGATTGCAGGTGTGGCTCAACTGGTAGAGTGCCAGCTGTGAACAAGCAAGCCAAACCAAGAGTTTGAGTTCCTGAATTCATGCTCCAATACCAGTAACAAAAAAAAAAGAAAAAGAAAAAGAAAAAAAGCAGTGAAGCTGGGTGCCGGGGAGTAACAAGAAAAAGAAAACAAAAAGCAGTGAAGCTGGGTGCCGGGGAGTAACAAGAAAAAGAAAACAAAAAGCAGTGAAGCTGGGTGCCCATGGCTCACGCCTGTAATCCTAGCTACTCAGGAGGCTGAGATCTGAGGATCAAGGTTCAAAGCCAGCCCGGGCAGGAAAGACTGTGAGACTCCTATCTCCAATAAACCACTAGAAAACCGGAAGTGGCGCTGTAGCTCAAGTGGTAGAGCACTCGCCTTGAGCTGAAGAGCTGAGGGACTGCGCCCAGGCCCAGAGTTCAAGCCCCATGACCAAAAAAAAAAAAAAGCAGTGAAAAGGAGAATCATTTTAAGGCAAAATGTCTACAATTACACTGCCCAAAACAGTGTCCACTAGCCATAGTTATTTCTTAAGTTTGAATAAAGTAAATGTAAAATCTAGTTTAAAGTCTAGTCTCATTCCAAGTACAAAATGGCACATGAAGCTATATGATGCAGCTTAGCTAGAGGACAGGCCTTTCATATACTTGCTTACTGGGCAGGACCGTGAAAACTATATACAACAGCATCTATTATCAAATGCTTAGAGGCTCACATTTCTGCAACTGAGACAAAAAACTAGTGAGACACAATCAACTAATGCTTTTGTGAAGTATTTTTTGTAAAGTATTTAAGCTTAGAGCATATAGCATCTATACTACTAGCTTACTGTAACAAATCCTGAATCCTAAGGGTTTGAGTTGAAGTGTGGATATTGGAAAACTAAATTTTCACTCAGTTCAGTTCGCTATAGTCTATAACACTCTCAATATCTAACTTCAGCCAGGCACGGGTGGCTCACGCCTGTAATCCCAACTACTCAAGAGGCCTCAGCCTGAGGATCGAAATTCAAAGCCAGCAGGAGCAGGAAAGGCCAGGAGAATCTTATCTCCAATAAACCACTCAGAAAACCAGAAGTGGTGCTGTGGCTTAAGTGGTAGAGTGCTAGCCTTGAGCTGAAGAGCTCAAGTTCAAGTCCCATGACCGCCCCCCCCCACAAAAAAATCTATCTTTATGCATAAGTATGATCCCAGGGTGGTTTTTTGTTTTGGTTTTTGCTTTTTTTTTTTTTGGCCTGGGCCTGAGCATTGAGCCTGAGCTTTTTTGCTCAAGGACTGTGCTCTACCATTTGAGCCACAGTTCCACTTCTATGACTCCAGTTTTTGAGCGTGATTCTGAACCATTTACCTCATTCCATGATCATCTCTGTTCCACATTTTTCTCCCAGAAGATGAGACACAAAATACTGCACTTAATTTCTGAAGCACTTGAAGCTTAAAGTCAGATGAGTACCATTCGATGGATATCCTACTATAAATCTGAATCAAGAAGGTTCCACTTCCATCCCAACCTAATCAGAGAATTTACATGGGAATGTGCTGCAGTAGCAAAGCCTTTCTGCTCGAGCCATCTGACACCCAAAGAGAAATCTCATCCAGTGGCAGCAGGCTGGTCCCTGAACTCTTATTTTATCGGTAGGCTAACAGCTGATCATATTTTGGGCTGCTGAGTCACTAACCAAACTTAGGAGCCTGACCAAAATTTACCATTTCCTCATTTGCAACGGAGGATGTACTTTTCCAGTGACAAGGAGGGAAAGGGAGCTGCACGGCAGAAAAAGTCTAAGAACAAAGACAGGCTGGTACTGAGGATATCAACTGAACTGCTGCATTTTTACAGGATTTCTAGCCTATGGCTGGTCTTCTTGGGTGGTAGTGGATTCAGAATGAGCCCTACCTGTTCTTACCTCCTTAGCTGTTAGCAGTTTCCCTCCTTCAAATTCTCTGCTTTCAACAATGTTAATAACTGACAAGATCACAGCTGCATGCTTATCTCTATCTGTATAGTCAGTCAGATTATAGCTTTTGACACAAATGCCTCAGAGCAGGTTATAATTTTGGTAGGCACCCCACAATTGATTACATTCTCCTCTTCCCACCTAAGTTCAGATGACTCTGACATGTTACTCTGAAAGGTGGCTTACTCCATGACTTATTTCATTTTTAACCTTTCAATTTCTTTTTTTTTTTTTTGGGGGGGGGTCCGGTCATGGGGCCTATATTCTGGGCCTGGGCACTGTCCCTCAGCTCTTCAGCTCAAGGCTACTGCTCTACCACTTGAGCCACAGTGCCACTTCCGGCTTTTTTCTTTTTTTGCGTATGTGGTGCTGAGGAATCGAACCCAGGGCCTCAGGCATGCAAGGCAAGCCACTGAGCCACCTTCCCAAACCCTAACCTTTCAATTTCTAAAGCTTGAAGAAGTAATCAAGAGAGAATGGAAATTGGTTTTCACTTTTTAAAAAACAAAAAGAACTCTTCCTTCTTACTGGGGAGAGAAAACTTCAGCATATCCTAAAGTTAGGAATCTGTTGTAAAGTACAGACCATACACCCACTTCTCTACAACCATTGTGGTCTACTGTGGAATAGTTTCAAAAACTGTCTTAGATCAACCTTTCATCTTAAGATTGAGGAAACAGATCCAGAGATGTGAACAGCTGGAGCTGGCAAAACTGGTCCATCACATTCCACGAAATACAAGAGAGAAGCAGGCAAGGAAAAGACTGTCCAAAGTGACTCTAATAAAATGTATTGGGATTATTTGTGTATGTATGAGATAAAAAGAATCTGCTATCAGTAGAAACACATTGTTTGTGTATGGTACTGGTTAAAAGGAATCTTTTTTTTGGTGGGAAAAATTTGCCTTTTTTAGATTTGGGAGACACCCCAACAAAATATTAGAAATACAAATTGATTTTGAAAATTAAGAACTACACACACACACACACACACACACACACACACACGAGACAGCTGGATTCAGTTTACTACATCTAAATGTTTTGATTCTGATGGCATGTCATTGAGCCATAATTTCAGTTTGGTCTAATTCAAACTTTTCAAAAATCTTGTTACTAATTGCCAAGACTGCTGTTTCATGTTCCTCCCTACTCACAGATGATATGTTTTGGCATTACTACCACGACCAGATTATAATTTGAAGGCATCTTGCAATTTCAAATAGCCCACTCTTCCTTTCTATAGCCCAGGTTTTATGTTTCTGTCTACATGATCCAAATCAATTATCTAGTGAGGTGTAGGACCCCCTAGGTTTTCACTGCAAGAAAAACAAATAACCTCAGGATGCTTTAAAGAACCTCAACCCCATGAAGTAAAAACGTTACAGAGAAGAGCCTTTGCAGAAAGAGTTGCCAATTACATTCACCACCAAAGAAAACAAGGAACTAGAGAAGATCCAGTATAATCTACCGAGGGAATCCTATAAGCCAATTTACTTCAGCCTGAGACTAATAGGAAATAAAGGAAAATTCAGCGACCCAGGCAAACCAAGTGACCTTTCAAAATCCATCTCCTGAGGAGATGGGAAGAAAAAAAAAAAAAACTTAGTGATCCAGTTTTCCACTTCAAGCTCCATGGTGATGGTGAATCTTTTTCCCCCCAATTTGAGAATTAAAGCTTCACTCAGGGATACACGCACGTCCACTTCCTCCTCCTCCTCGACTCCTTACGGAAAGGAAAATAAAACAAGAGAGGGGAGAGGAGGAAAAAAGAAAGAAGTCCGGCTTGGGCCTGGACTACTGCCTGGGTGAAGACCCGCAGCCTTGAGGCCTGGCTGGGTGGGAGTGTAATCAGCCGAACTCCCACTGTATACCCTACCTCGCCTTCCGAGTCAAACGGCTTTGCACCCACAGTTTAGAATGCTGCCTGCTCAGGCTACGGCGCCCAGGGAATCACGACCCATCTTGGACCTGGGCCCTGCCGGGTTCACCGTCAGCCCGGCGGGCTACCCTAATCCGTCCCGGCTGCCGGGTTCAACTAAGCCCAACCCCCTTTCCACCTGACCTTGGGGGGGTGCAGGCAGGTTCCCCCGTGCCCTCCCAGGCGCCTGCAGGGGCTCCCTCACTCGAGAACATTCCTCCCATCCCCCTCCCACCTGCCTAAATACGGGACCGGGAAGCTTCGGGACCACCGTCCTCCTTCCAGGACCCAACGGAGCTCGTTCCGAACCAGACTGATGAGGGGAGACCTGGAACCCCGACATGTCAACCCCTCCGGGCTGCCCACCGACAACCAGGGCTGCAGCCACTCGCGCGTCCCTCTCTCCTCCCTCGGCCGGCCGCGCCGCCCGGAGCTCGACCCGCAGGACGCGGGCGGCCCCTCGGCTCCACCCCGCGGATCCTCCGGCGACGGGCCGGAAAGGACGGGGGTCCCTTCCGTCTCACCTAGGGCGGAGGCGCTCGCTCATGGCAGCTGGTGGAGGGGAGCGACGCTGCGCCGCCCCGCGCGGAGAGCGGACGGAGGGGGTCGTGTTCCGGCGTCCGCCACGCCCACCCCCTCGGGCCTTGGCTCTGGCCGCCGCGCGGGTGGAGGACGCCGGCAGTGAGAACCCCTCAGTCGGACTCGTACCACTGCCACTTCCGGCGTCTCCTCCGCGCCCCCCCATGTCGCACCGCCGTGGTACCGCCCCCTTGCGGCTGCGCAGTGGCGCGACGCCCCCACGACGCCGAGCTCTGGCCCCGCCCACAGGAAAGAGGCGGGCTCTGAGGGGGGAGGGGGAGGAGAGGGAGGGAAGGCGTGACTGGAAGCCTCTGAGAAAGAGGACCTCTGCGGAGGTGGTCTAGGCGTTCGCCTGTCCGCAGCCAAAGCGAAACACCTTGGAACAAAACCACACCGGAGTTTAAATGATTTAGCTTATAGTGTAGTAAGTGATGCAAGTATTTTGAGTCCATCCTGGTGGGGTAACCGTTTAAAGGAACTAGGAGAGCGCCATCAGGCATTGATGCGGACGACCTGCCGCGAGTCCGGGGGTTGGGACGGCGCCGGTGGGCTTCGGGGGCTCGACGCCGGCGCTCGGTGGGCCTGGGGGTCGCCGGAGTCGCGAATTCTGGTCCGCAGTGAGTCCTGAGGGGAGGGGCTGTTTCCGGGAAGACACCCCGAGGCGACCGAGGGATGGGTCGTCCGGGGAGGGGCTGATTGGAGCCTCCCGTGGGGATCGTGGGGGGCGGGGTCGCGACCCGACCCCCGGTTCCCGGCCCTCCGGGCCTCCGGGCCCCCGGGCCGGGATAAAGGGAGGTAAACCCAGGCCTGGGAGCAAGGGCAAAGCGGTGAGATCCGCCTGGTGTGGAAGGTTGCTTTTGTATTTAATGTGCCCACCCTGGGGCTGGAACTCAGGGCAGTGACCCTGAGCTGTGGCGCCCCGGGCTAGCACTCTACCGCTTGAGCCACGCCTCCCCCTCCGGCTTTTTTCTTGCTGGTTAATTGGAGATAAGAGTCCAACTGGACTTTTACTCGCGCTGGCTTCGAACCTCGATCCTCAGATCCCAACCTCCTGAATAGCTAAGGTTACAGGCGTGAAGCCACCAGCGCCTGCAGATAATCCAGTTTGTATTGGGTTCGGTACTGGGCCACAGTTCCTCGCTGTATCTCATTACATAGGCTGAAGTTCAGAGTTTCTTTCTGTCGAACTCGGGAAGGACGGTCCAGAATCATGAAGATCCAGGAGAAACAGCAACAGAATTAGCATCGTCCTAACAGAGCTCGGGTAAGAAAAACACTCAGGTTAAGATGTTGTCTCCAAAGGCACCTGAAAGCCGGGCGACGGTGGCTCACGCCTGTAATCCTAGCTACTCAGGAGGCTGAGATGTGAGGATCACGGTTCAAAGCCAACCCGGGCGGGAAAGGCCGTGAGAATCTTATCTCCAGTAAACCACTCAGAAAACCGGAAGTGGCACTGTGGCTCAAGTGGTAGAGTGCTATCCTTGAGCTGAAGAGCTGAGGAACAGTGCCCAGGCCCAGAGTTCAAGCCCCACAACTGACCCCCCCCCCCAAAAAAAGGCACCTGAAATGGACGATGGAGGACTGAAACAATAGGATCTCAGTCATTCCTAAAGTTTCTAGCAGAAAGCCCATGGATCAGATATGCTTGTGTGCTATTTCACAAATAGCTTTTGCCCCATTATCAGTGTATACTTCAGAAAAGGAGGAATTGGCACTGTGGATTTTGTTGGCAGAAAAGTTATTTTTGCATAACTTCATGTAAGATGAAGTGGCTTTGATAACGGGTACTTTATTTCCCGATCTGCTTTTATGATCAACTTAAAGAACAGAACTGTGTAATACTGGCACGTTTATGTCTAGAGAAAGGATTCATTAAACAAATATATGCCAGGCTCAAATGTTAGTTTTTTAAGATTCCACTTATGCTCAAAATAGATATGTCTTTGCCTTCTGGAATCTTAGAGAAACAGAAAGAAATGTTAAAATAATAAGCCGGGAGCCCTTGGCTCGTGCCTGTAATCCTAGCTATTCAGGAGACTGAGATCTGTGCCTTGGCAAGTCTGAGAGACTTACTTCTAACAAGCAAAAAGCCAGAAGTGGATGTGTGATCCAAGTGGGAGAGTGCTAGCCTTGAGTGAAAAACACCAAATGAGAGCACATAGCCAAGGAGATCATTAGGCCCTGACTTGGAGCCCCAGTACTGGCACAAAAATATTAATAATAATAACTTTCATCAGAGCTTTGGAATTATTTTCCAACTATTGAGAATAACAGGTACAAATGACATGTAGTATGAATTTGTTTGTGGGTTTTGGAGTTTGGGGGGTCAGTTGTAAGGCTTGAATGGGCCTGGGTGCTGTCCCTGAGCTCTTTTCCTCAAGACTAGCACTCTATCACTTTGAGCCACAGGGCCACTTCTTGGTTTTGAGTGGTAATTGGAGTCTCACAGGGACTTTTCTGTGTGGGCTGGCTTTGAACCACAATCCTCAGATCTCAGCCTCCTGATTAGCTAGGATTACAGGCATGCACCACTGGCACCAGGCCTTAGTATGAATTAAAGCTTCCTTACTTGGTATATACATTTAACAAATTTGCCAGTAATGATTACTGAAAGAAAGTTTGGACACTCCTTCGTTGTGTTTTTTTTTTTTTACTTACGTATTATATGTGCAGTTTATATATGGGCATGCACATACATGCATGCTACTAATAATGCAAAATGTCAGCTTCATTTTTTTTTTTTTTGCTCAAGAGAATGGAAGTTCTGATAGTCTCTTCTTGAACCCAGTAGATCTTTCCTTTTTCTTATTCACTTTGGAAACTTGCCCTTTTTTTTTTAATTCATCATTTCATCCTTGAGTGATATATTTAAAGTCTTTTAAACAATTTTGTACTCACATAATATCCTGTTGGTGTGAATATCGAACACTTTTACTCTGCCTACTATTTTGACCAACTTTTCCCAGACTATTAATTTATTAGATTTAAGTCTTTTGGCCTTGCTCACTCATTAGGGATGTTGAAAATTCTCTGGGTTGTCTTTTATATGATTCATTTCTTGAAGACTTGAAATATAAAATACAAGCATACCAGAAATGTTTGTTTTAAAACTATACTATGTCTTCTTTTTGCTATCTACCAAAAAAAGGAAAGCTTAAAGTTTCCTTTAACCTAGGTTGTTCCAAATTAGTTTAAGAGATAAGATTCACACATAAAATGTCAGTTTTTACCGTTTAGGCTATGTGTCTCCTTTTTTGTTGTTTTTGTGCCAGTACTAGGGCTTAAACTCAAGGCCTGGGTGCTGTCCCTTAGTTTTTTTGCTTAATGCTGACACTTTTAACACTTGAGCTACAGCTGCATATCTAGCTTTTTAGTAATTAGTTGGAGATAAGCAAGTAATTGTTTCTCAGACTTGCCCAGGCTGGCTTTGAATTGTGACCCTCAGATCTCAGCCTCCTGAATAGCTAGGATTTACTGACATGAGCCATCAGTTCCTGGCCTCATTTTCTAACATTTTATCTTTTTCAGGAAGAAGATAAGTGATATCCAGCCCAAAATGGAAGTGTGTCCTTACTGTAAGAAACCATTTAAAAGATTAAAATCTCACTTGCCATACTGTAAAATGATCAAATTGACCATACCTGCTGATCAGAAAGTTCATCAGTCCAGGCCAGCTACTGTCCCATGTGTTAAAAAAGTGGAAAGGCCGACCAAAGACTTAATTAAGAGGAAAGAACTAGAAATAGAGGATGAGAAAAGAAATACCAAATCAATAAACAACAAACTGGAAAGGACAGTAGCATCCTTTCCACTACAAGATACTGACTTGCAAAGAGCAAGTACTCCAAAGGTGGGTGTAGACATCAAGGCTCAAAGTCACCTTTCCTTCAGAGTGTTAAAATACACCAAACCAAAGATTGCCTTCCGGAGAAAAACTAAGGCTCAGTCTTATCCTTCAATTAACTCTTCTCCTAAACAAGAACTTGCCAAAGGTTTGCCTAAATCAGAGGAAATCCAGTCGAATTCTTTAGAAACAGAAGTATCATTACCCAGTAGTTCAACAGAACCATCTTTGTCGAATCAAGGTAGAAAATACTCCTTAGCTGCACCAAATGATGTACAAGCCAATCCTATGCATGTAAAGTTAGACACAATTGAGCCCCAAAGACAAGGGCTTCCAGTAAAATCATTAACTGTACGTACAAGTGATTGTCATCATTCTCTGAAGAACCTCAATGATGGAATACAAACAGTGAGAGCATCAATGTTGAACAAGAGTATTTCCAGAGACAGAAGCTATGTGCCAGCACACTCTGCTGACATTGGAAACCCTAAGGCTCAGGGAAAGAACTCAGAATCACTTGTTTTAGGCCCTCACCCCAACCCATTAAATCCAATTTCAGTTGAGAACCAAGTTGTGGGACTTGGCTGTGGAGTGGAGGTACGTCAGGCCCAGGGAAATGCTGAGGACAGCATGCTTGTGACAGATTTGCAGGAACGGGCTTCTGTGACTGGTGGCTGTAAGAACTTCACTGGCAGCTCTGCCACCAAGGAGAAACAGCAAGCTGGAGATTCACTTTTAAACCTGTTCTCTCTGCGAGAGGCAACGTACAATGAGTTTCTTTGTGTATCACCATCAGACCATCAGAATCTTGCCTCTGTGTCCATGAAAGGTCTTCAAGGAGAGAAAGTGCAAGTCTGTGGTCATAATCAGGTCCCCGATGTCAAACTCTTACTAGAAGGGCAGGTACTCCCTGCCTTGGAGCCTTACTCTGCCTGTCACCATCAAGCATTAAACCAGCAGTCTACCCAGTATATTTCTAAAAGCTCCCTCGTCAGTCATATTGCTATTGACAGAAAGCCCCCTCCCAGCCCCATGGGGCTGGAGTGGTTTCCAGATCTCTATCCTGGATATGTTGAATTAGGGGTGTTGCCAAGGAAGCCTCGGTTTTGGAACTCAGTGGCCCAGAAACCCCAGCTTGCCAGTCCCCTGGGGGGACATCTTTCACAAGGTAAGCTTATGGTATCTTCTTGGTAAGGTCGAAATGCTAATATTTTCATTCGTTTAACTTATCTTTGCCTATACAGCCCATTGCACTGAATGTACACTTGTGAGAATATTAGTTCTCACTCCAAAGATCAATCAGTAATAATGCTTTATCCTGTATCTTTTTCCTCCATCAAGAGTTGAAGATTGGGGCTAGGAAGATAGCTCGGTGGTAAAGTGCTTGCCTTTCATGGGCAAGGCCTCATGCATATGAGGCCCTGGGTTCAATTCCTCAGCACCACATAAGCAGAAAAGGCCAGAAGTGGTGCTATCGTTCAGGTGGTAAAGCTGAAGAGCTCAGGGGCAGCACCCAGGCCCAGAATTCAGGCCCCACAACCGATAGAAAAAAAAGAAGAAAAAAATTGAAGATTAGACTAGGACTGGCTGGTAATTTTTTTTTTTTCCTTTCCAGTCATGGGGCTTGAACTCTGGGCCTGAGTGATGGTTCTAAGCTTTTGTCCTTAAGGCTAATGCTCTACCGCTTGAGCCACATCTCTGCGTCCAGCTATTATTGTGGTTAATTGCTCAGGCTAGTTTTGAATGGCCATCCTCAGATCTCAGCCTCCTGACTAGTTAGGATTACAGGCATGAGCCTCCAGCACCCAGTGGTCTAGACCTTTTGTACAAAGTTGTATCCTCAAGATCTGCTTCTTGTCCACTCTGAACACAAGCTTCGGGACACTAACACGGACGCTTTGCAGCGTCCCTAGAGCTTCCATCTTTATTACGGAAATAATGTAACAGGCACAGACAGAATAGGTGGTAGAATTGCAGGTAGAACTTAGTCTTCTAGCTTAATGCTTTCCGTTAAACCAGATGGTAGAAAGCACAGGTAGGGCGAAACAGGGGATTAAGATAGCTCCATATTTCTGTGTGTTAATTGCATGTTCACACACTTAGCTCATGATTAATTTTCTCTAACAAATAGAAAGCTGTTTTTATTTTCTGTACTGTCTGTTATAGTGCCAAATAGTAAACCTCATTTTAGAGGAAAAGGCCAGCCTTCGCAGCTGGGGGTAGAGGGGTGCGGGGAGGGGGTGGCCCCTTCTCAACAGAAAAGTTTGGATGTGGTTGTATATAGCTACAAAGGAGGCATTAGGAGGAGGATTGTAGCCCAGGCCATCCTGGGCAGAAATGGAAGACACTTGAAAATAACCATTCTAAACAGGGTAGGGGAAACATGATTCAATGATAGAGCTCCTGCCTAGCAAGGCTATGGCCCTAAGTTCTAACTCTCTTACCATCCAAAAAAGAAAGAAGCATTGTGGTTATATTGTTGTCTTACCCTCTTATAACAAAGGCATCTAAGCCAAATGTAGTGGCACACACCTCGATAATCATAGCACTTAGACAGGACAACAGTGAATTCAGACCAGCTTGAACTGTATAGCAAGACCCTGCCTGAAAAAATAAGAAAATACAAGACAGTTATTGGAGTTCAACCCAGATGACCATATGTGAGGAACGGTTATGTGTAATTAGGTTAGAAATGAGCCAAATATGCGTAGGGCTTGGGCTTCAGCCTATAATCCTAGCCACTTAAGAGGGTGACACTAGGAAGATCATGGTTCAAAGCCAGCTGAGGCAAAAAGTTCACAGGACCCTAGCGCAGATCATGGGAGCGGGAGCAAAAACTAGAGATGTGGCTCAAGCAGTGTAGCCCACCTAAGTAGCACTAGCCTTGAGTTCAGACCACAGTACTACTAAACAAACCAACAGGTGTGTGACAACCTGGTTCCAGACCCACTGCCAGCCAAGGACTCTGAAAAGGTGTCTTAGACCAAACACAGATCAGGGGTCCTGGACAAATAAGCCTGTGCATAACGGACAGCCAGCAGAAGGGGTGAGTGAGGTCATATATCTATGACTTAGAATAGGCGTGAGGGATGGTGTAGAGGTTGGGTGAGGGTTTTCAGTAGTTTCATCAGACCCTGGGACCATTGTCCCTGTGGGCTTAACCCCATCAGATCACTGGAGTGAAGGGAGTGAATCCTGGCAGATAAGATCCCACACACAAGTTGAGGTGGGGCAGCAGAGGCTCAGATGGAAGTGGGTAGATAGTAGGGGCGTCAGCGAGACCTAGTGGGCCTGGGTGGCAGGCAGCAAAGATCTGAGAAACTACTCTAGGCCTGTGGGTGCCAGGCCAGTGCCTCCCTGAGCTGCTGCTTACACAATCACACCTGACCTGAACCTATTGTTCAGCTGACTGGAGGGGAACAAGATCAGGGAATCACGTGGTTCCCAAAACTGCTGAAAATCCTTGCACCACAGAGTTCTCATGGGGTCATAACTTGTGGGAGGGAGGTTTGTAGTGTTTTGTTTTTTGTAGTGCTGAGGATCAAACCCAGGGTCTTATACATGCCAGCACTAAGCCACAGCCACAGCCCTCCAGCTTTTGTGTGTGTGTGCAGGTCCTGAGGTTTGAACTCAAGGCCTGGGCACTATCCCCCAATTGCTTTTTGCTCAGGGCTAGCACTCTACCACTTGAGCCACAGCTCCACTTCCAGCTTTTTTTTTTTTTAAGTCGTTTATTGGAGATATGTCTCAGACTTTCCTGCCTGGGCTGGCTTCAAACTGCGATCCTCAGATATCAGCCTTCTGAGTAATTCAGGTTATAGCCACGAGCCACCACCACCCAGCCTGGAACAACCTTTTGACTGGAATTGATCTGACCTTCAAGGCGAGGTTAACAACAATCCAAAGCAGAAACTAGTACCCCACTGTTGAGAATGTGTACTGTCTTGAGGCTCATGCCTGAGAACTGTGGCTCTGCGTGTTGGGGAAGGGGTGAACTCAGATGAGCTATCACAGTGACTTCTGTTTGGAACCCTAGTTCTTTTGTTGGAAAGAAGCTCGGCTGGTGTAAAGAGTTTGGAACCCCCGACTGGGCTTACAACCTCCAACTTCCCTGTAACGAGACTCTTGGGCGCTCTGCACAAAGGTGAGGCTGGAGTGATTGATGGTTGAGTTCAGAAACTGGCTCCAGGCTTTGGGAGAAGTGCTCTTTTACTGTAGGCTGGTAGAGCCAAGGCAAAGGTAGAGGAAAGCCATGGCTGTCACCTGCTCTCTGTTTCCATTTTGGAGTCAGACATAAATTGAAGCACCCAAGCTGATAGAGCAGCAGCTACCATGCATTGAACAGCTTTTGCTTGTTCATACCTCCCTGAGTACCTGCCTACCTATTCCTCCCTCTGCCTCTCGAAACAGTGATCACGCTTCCTCCCAAAGCCTGGACAGTGCCTCTTAGCCAATTGCATTAGTTTCTGCCCTTGAAACTTGGCACCACTTAGCCAGTCTCATTAGTCTCTGCCCTACTGAAAGTGTTAAACCAGGCTCCCTGATATAAGAACACTGGGATTTATTTCACCTGTTTATATATGTGTGTTTAGTGTGTACACGTGTAAATCGTGTGGATTTCAATCCCCTTGTCCAGACTTACTGGATATGGGTATCCCAGATGACAGACCACATTCTACTACACCATAACCTGTGCCATGTCTCTCTCTGAACAGGCTGGATCATGTGTAACACCACCATAAAGAAGAGCGGAGTTGGTGGCATCACAATGCTTTTCACGGGGTACTTCCTCCTGGGTTGTAGCTGGAGTTTCAAGCATCTGAGTAAGCTCTTCCACCCTTGTAATATAAATGACAGGTCCTCCCATTATGGGGGCTTTAAGGGGCTTTTCATAGTAATCTCACAGTGTCTGGCATGCCTGAGTAAATGAGAAGTTACTGCCTGTTTTTGTTCCTTAAGGCCTGTATATTGATTGACATTTACATAACTGCACATTTACTCATGCACTGGGGCTCTAGTGGTCTTCTATAAACTGTTTCCCTACATGGATTCATCCCTGTGCTTAGGACAGCATATTAATCTACACTATTTATTTAATTGACTATTTGTGAGATGGAGCCTTGCCTCCAGTGGTAGAGCATTGACCAAGCAAACCAGCATAAAGCCATGAGTTCAAACCCCAGTGCCACCAGAGAAGAATTGAGAAAAAAAAAATGGAGCCTTGCTATGTAGATACTGCAGCTACAACTATGTGTTGCTGCTGGGCTTGAATCAGGTCCCTTATTCTCTTGCTTGGCTTTTTCACTCAAGGCTAGCACTCTACCACTTCAACCGTAGGTCCACTTAGGGCTTTATGCTGGTTAATCTGAAATTAAAGTGTCATGGATTTGTTTATCCAAGCTGGCTTTGAACTTTGATCTTCAGATCTCTGCCTTTTCCGAGTAGCTGCATTACAGGTGTGAGCTACCAGCTCCCTTCTAGTTAGGAGCTTCAACTTGCACCAAGTCTTAACCAAAAGGAAAATGCAAAATTTTCATTATTCTTTTTTTTTTTTTTTGGGTCCGGTCGTGGGGCCTGAACTCTGGGCCTGGGCGCTGTCCCTCAGCTCTTCAGCTCAAGGCTAGCACTCTACCACTTGAGCCACAGCACCACTTCCGGCTTTTTTTTTCTTTTTGCTTATGTGGTGCTGAGGAATCGAACCCAGGGCCTTGAGCATGCAAGGCAAGCACTCTATCACTGAGCCACCTTCCCAGCCCTAAAAATCAATTCTTAAAGTTTCTTATTTAAAAACGTTTATAGGTGACTGTCAGTACTTTTCTGTAATTTAGAAGAAAAAAAAGCCCCTGGTTTTGTTTTTTTTGTTGGTCATGGGGCTTGAACTCTGGGCTTGGGCACTGTCCCTCAGCATTTCAGCTCAAGGTGAGCGCTCTACCACTTGAGCTATCGCGCCACTTCCGGTTTTTGAGTGGTTTATTGGAGATAGGAGTCTCACGGTCTTTCCTGCCCAGGCTGGCTTTGAACCACGATCCTCAGATCTCAGCTTCCTGAGTAGCTAGGATTACGGGCATGAGCCATTGGCGTCCGGCTAAGCCCCTGTTTTTTATTAAAAGAAAGTTTATAGGTGACTATAAGTGTTTTTCTGTAATTTAGAAGAAAAAAACAGCCTCTTTCAAAAGATGAAAATTCAGAGTGTAAAAGCATAAGGCAGCTTGGATGATACTAAAAACCTGTCTCACTCAAAACCTGTGGAATCCACAACTGGACAGAGTTTTGTTGTTGTTTTTTTTATTTTGTTTTTTGGGGAGGGGATCCGGTCATGGGGCCTGAACTCTGGGCATGGGTGCTGTCCCTCAGCTCTTCAGCTCAAAGCTATCGCTCTACCACTTGAGCCACTGTGCCACTTCCGGCTTTTTCTTTTTGCTTATGTGGTGCTGAGGAATTGAACCCAGGGCCTCAGGCATGCAAGGCAAACACTCTACAACTGAGCCACTCTCCTAGCCCCTGGACAGAGCTTTTTAGTCATGATTTGAGTCTCATTGGATGTTTGTCGATTGCTTCTGCCTGGTGAGCAGGAAGGCAGGTCTTGAGCAGGAATGGAGCTGCAGCACACCTAGGTGCTGAGTGGCATGGCATAGATGCCAGTTCTTGCATGAGATACCTGGCTGCCGGTAAAGGATGGTATCAGTACATTAAAGCAGTTGCTTCTCCCAGAAAATGGGGGGTGCCCTCAGTTTTTGTGGTCTGGAAGAGCTGGTTTGGTTGGTGGTGTCCTTCATTAGTGTAAGTGCTAGTTTTCACGTCCCTTTTAACTAGCATGCACTAGTATATTTCCACATCTGCATACAGTGTACTCTCAGATCACCTCCTCAATCACTCTCCTCCCTATCCCCCCTTCTTAAAAAGCTCTGTAAATTTATAAAAGAAAAATATAGGCTCATGCTTACAATCCAAGCTACTCCTATGATATGAGATCACAGTTCTATGCCTGCTGAGGCAGAAAAGTTCACGAGACTCTAGCTCCATGTAGCCAGCAAAAAGTTGGAAGTGGAGGTATGACTCAAGTGGTAGAATGAAACAGCCAAACAAGAGTGACAGGCCCTGAGTTCAAGCTGCAGTTCCAGCACACACCCAGAAAAGAGAGGGAGAGAGAGAAGAGAGGATGAGAGGAAGGGAGGGAAGGATAGAAGGAGGAAGGAAAAAATATATAACAGAGTGGTCCATAGAGACAAAAGAAACCTTAGATGTGGCATCTTGGATTCTTACGTTTGGTTTGTCTCTGTTTGTTCAAAGAGCTGCAGCGCTGGCGGAAGTAATGTGGATGGGGGATGGACGAAAGCTCAAGTGAAGGGGAGCTCGGTGGATACGACTACAGAGCAGATGGCACAGTTTAAATTTGTCCAGGGGATGGGGAGGGGGGTGCGAGAATAAACACCTGCAATCTAAAGCAATCACATGAGTAGTAGAGTTCTTACCAACATGGGCAGATCTGGTTCTGTTTGGTGCTTCTATGGCTTGCTCTCAAAACTAACAGTAGGAAAAAATACAGGTTTGTTGAATCATCAGCTCATTATTTAAGGAGATAAGTAGATGATAGAACGTATCACTTAAAGCTTTCTCTTATTTGCCTAGTGATGCACACCTGTAATTCCAGCAGCACTTGGGAGGCACAGGCAGGCAAGAGAATCGCAAATTCCAGGATAGATTAGGCTATATAGTGAGACCCTGTGTCAAGAAAACAGAAAAGCGGGGCTGGGAAGGTGGCTCAGTGGTAGAGCGCTTGCCTTACATGCATGAAGCCCTGGGTTTGATTCCTCAGCACTCCATAAGCAAAAAGAAAAAAGCCGGAAGTGGCACTGTGGCTCAAGTGGTAGAGCACTAGCCTTGAGCTGAAGAGCTGAGGGACAGCGCCTAGGCCCAGAGTTCAGGCCCCACGACCAGATGCAAAAAAGAAAACAGAAAAGCCTGGGAGTATGGCTCAAGCAGTTGAGCAACTGCCTAACAAGCACTAATCCCAACCCCAGTACTCCCCCCAACCTCCCAATGAAAGTATTTTTCAGTCCTTAGTAAAAACTAGTATCCAGTTGTATCCCGTTTTAGATATTTCTCCCTAATACAATGTTTTACTGTCTACATATACTTGAGCATCTGTCTGCTATACTCCATATAGTATATGGATATAAGATAGTAGCCAAATAATCAGGGAATGGGAGGCCACCCTATAAGAATGCTTACAGATATTTTACCATTTCTTTTTATTCTTGGTGGTACTGGAGTTTGAAATCCGGACCTTGCATTTGTTAGGTAAGCCCCATACCACTTAAGCTACATAGCCGTCCCTCCATACACGCTTTCTTGGTGGAGGTGGGGACGGGGCGGGGGGAGGGGCTGGAGGGTTTTTTTGTTTTTTGTTTTTTTTTTTTGGTCAGTTGTGGGGCTTGAACTCAGGGCCTGGGTGTTGTCCCTGAGCATCTTGTGCTCAAGGCTAGTGTTCTACTACTTGTGCCACAGCACCACCTCTGGTTTTTGAGTGGTTAATTAGAGATAAGAGTCTCATGGGGGGCTGAGAATGTGGCTTGGTGATAGAGTGCATGCCTAGCAGGTGTGAAACCCTGGGTTTAATTCCTCAGTACCACGTAAACAGAAAAGGCTGGAAGTGGCTTTGTGGCCCAAGTGGTAGAGTACTAACCTTGAGCAAAAAGAAGATCAGAAACAGTGCCCAGGCTCTGAGTTCAAGCCCTGGACTGGCCAAAAAAAAAAAGAGAGAGAGAGAGAGAGAAAGTTTTATGGGTACTTGTCTGTCCAGGCTGGCTTGGAACCATGATCCTCAGATCTCAGCCTTCTGAGTTGCTAGGATTACAGGCATAAGCCACCGTGCCGGGCTTCCATGCATGCTTTCTAAGCTGATGAAACCAGCATACCAACTACAGTGCTAAGCACCTACTCTCCATCTTCAGTGTGACAGTAAGCACAAGGCTTGTTGTATCATCTCCTGCAACCAGAATTCTACCCTGTGGTGCTCAAGAGTGTCTGTAGATAACTGTTAGTGCTGGATTTTCTGGGTCTCATCTCCATCAAAATGTTTGATATCTCAATTTTTTTTTATTTTTTTCTTGTCAGTTGGGGGCCTGAACTCTGGGCCTGGGTGCTGTCTCAGCTTTCAGCTCAAGGCTAGCGCTCTACTACTTGAGCCACAGCACTACTTCCACTTTTTCTGCTTATGTGGTGCTGAGGAATCGAACCCAGGGCCTCATGCATGCAAGGCAAGCATCTACCACTGAGCCACCTTCCCAGCCCCCTCATAATTGTTTTTTAACCTCCACTTTGGCCCCCAGAAATGTGGCTGTAAATTAACCTCACTAGCAAAAATTACCTCTTAAAACCAGTCTGAAACACAAATGCGTTTGCAGTGGCTAGTAAATGAAAAGAGGTCAGGAAAAGAGTCACATTGAGTATAATTTCATAGAATATCAAATGAGGAAACCGTGGGATGAAAAGTGTTGTGGGAAAGGGAATGAACTGGGTTTGACCACCTAGACCTCTTGGATTTCAAACCTTGACATCTGAGCTTCTTGGATTCCTGATTCCTGGCATTAATGACTGTCACTATGCAGTAAGTACCTTTGATATCAAATAAGTATTCTAGAAAACAGAAGTGATGGGAAGAATAATCACTGGACAGGATTACTACTAGTGTTGATATTTCAGATGTTTGTGCACATGTATAGTTTTTTTTGTTTTACCCAAAAGTGAAGTCATCCTCTGCCTTACACTTAGAACTAGCTTGTTTCATGTTCAATCCCCCCACCCACCCACCTTACCCTGTCTCTGCCATTAAATTCCCTGTAATTGGGCTGGGAAGTTGGCTCAGTGGTAGAGCGCTTGCCTTGAATGCCTGAGGCCCTGGGTTCGATTCCTCAGCACCATATAAGCAAAAAGAAAAAAAAAAGCCAGAAGTGGCGCTGTGGCTCAAGTGGTAGAGCCTTGAGCTGAAGAACTGAGGGACAGCACTCAGGCCCAGAGTTCAGGCCCCACAACTGGACCAAAAAAAAAAAAAAAAATTCCCTGTAATTTTGTATTAAAAAAAAAAAATTAACCTCACTAAAACCCCCAGCACCCCTTTCCTTTTGGAAAGGCTTAATACCATTCTCCTTTTTTTTTTTTTTTTTGGTCAAAAATGAGGGGCAAGTAGCAGTTTTTTTATGTGTGAGCCACCAGCACTGAGCTCATTGTCTTCCTTAAAATGAGAGACTTGGGATTCTCTCTGTGCCTCATCATCAGCCCATCTTAGTGTCCAAAACAGGGAGGAAGGTAGATGCTGACAGCCTGTGGACTGTCCT